GGTGAGAGCCCCGGGCAGCCCCCGCCCCAGGCCTAGGGAGTGACTAGTGGTGGGAACCCTGGGCAGCGCCCCCCTCTTGTCCTCTCTAGGCCCTGCCCAGGGAGCGCAGGGTGCCTGACTCAGCCTGTCCTAACTCTTGGGGTTGGTGACACGGCGAGAACAAGGCCGGGTGTGAATGTCACTATGGCGCCGTGTGATTTTTAGGCAGCGGCCTATGGAAAGTGCGTCGCTGCGACGACAACAGGCCATGCCGAGCTGCGGAAGGACGTGTGCACGAAGGAGTTCGAGGCCCTGAAGGAGTGCTTCACCCAGGCAGTATGTTGCAGGGAATAGCTGTACACACAAAAACTTGGGGGCCACCCTGCGGGATGGTTCTTGGAGGGGGGACTGGCCTGGAGAGTTCAGTGCTATCATGTTTATACCCTCTTTGGTGCAGTACCATAGGCAAAACGTGGGTCTGGGGAAGTAATTCTCAAACCTAGGACTCATGCCCAGGGCATCTGAAGTCTAATACGTCAGAAATGACCACTGTAGTGATAGTCTTGTGGTTAAGGCTCTGGACTTGGGATAAGGAAATCTGTTAATTTTCAGCTGTGACTCAGCAAGTTACAGTCTGTGCTGCAGGATACCAGTGCCCCTCAAGCACAAGGAAGTTGTGAGAATGAACAAATGTTTGAACTACTCTGACACCGTGGGATAGTACAAGTACCGAGGTAGAGTGGGGCTGTTTTCCCCGCCATGGTGATTGGTTCTGATGGTCAGTGTGGGTAGCTTATCTGGCAAAGTCCTCACAACAGAGCAGGAACTGGATGTTGTAATCAGAAAACACCAATCCTCTTCCTCCTAGCTTATCTGACTCACTTCTTTTTACAGGCAAAGAAGACAATGAAGTGAAGGCATTGGTAACAATGCAGGGGACTGGAATCTAGATTTACAGTCCTGGCTGGTGTCTGTCCAGCTGTAATCAGGTAGTTCCAGGACAGAAGAATTTGCATAATCTAATTAAATCAGAAGGAAATGGGAGCCAAATAATGGAATACTCAACTCTATTTCATGCCACCTCCGCCCCCAGCTGTTTCAGACAATGCATGTAAATAGATGTTTGGAAACTTTTTTTTTTAAATAAAACTCCAAAATCTGAGTCAGTGGTTTAAGACCTGCTCTTTATTCTACAATTTAACTCTGCAGTCTGGAAAGGGTAGCAAAAACGGCACTAAAACTAAGCTTCTATTCTACTGAGTGGCTACACTCCCTTTGTTTGCTGCAGTACCTTTAGCCTACTCTCAGATGGCCCTATTGTTCTAGAGCTAGCTTTTGTCATGTGGCTTTCCTGAGAATTTAGGATTCCATCTCCCCTTCCCACAGGGTCCTAGGAATGTTAGGGTGGGCAGAAATGCAGAATAGGTCACTTGAGAGAGGGTTCTGCTTTAGCTCCCGAGATTTCATTCTCTCTGACCATATTATGACTAATGCTTAAGTTCAGCTAAAGCCATGGTACGCTAAAGAGCTGCCCCACTACAACTGGGAACCTTGCTGCTAAACCTCCACTTCCCATGTGAATACAGGCTTTCAGACTGCAGCTTTGAAAACCTAAGCACTAAAACTCCTAAGACGAGGGGAGAAATGGGCCAAGGTTACAGACCATGGCTGAGCTCCGCCTAAGTGGTTGGCAGAGCTCCTCATCTAGCGGCTCATGTTACCCTCAAGGCTGCCGGGGCCCTCGAAGTAGTGCAAGGACACTGGTTACGTTTAGAGGGTTAAGCACAGGGCTACGGAGGAAATGCCGGGTACGAGGATGAGTAAATGCAAGCTGCAGCTTGATAGAGGTGAGGGAGGTGCTAGCTAATGAAAAGCACTCCGATAAGAGCAGGTCACTGCTTGGGGCATGAGCACCCCACTTTACACTGCACTCACCCTGAAGCGAAACAATCAAAGTGGCATTTCATGAAATCTCCCGTTTTGGGGCACATGGAGCCCCTCCCCTCACAGCCAGGAGGAGCCCAGCCACTAGCTGCAGCAATGGCCGAAGGGATGCAGAATGAGCAGAGTTTCCTTAAGGATACGTCCCATCCTGGACAGCAGGAACTGCTCCCCAAGGGCCGAGAGCGGCTTAACGGTGCTCGTTACAGCAAGAAGAGTTCAACTCAAAATGCTTTAACTTATTTTATTGATTGGCCTGGCATGGCCACTCCTCAGCCTTTCCCCTGAGCACTGCAGATACAAGCTGGTCCTAGCCTGGAGAGGTAATGAAGTTCCCTGCTTTTGTCCAGCTGGGAATGTCTCATTCACAACACTGGCCAATTCCAGGTGCTGAGGAATGTCAGAATTATCTTTGGTCCCTTTGTGGTCGACAGGCACCTCAACAGCAGCACGTGGTCACCCTAAACTGCTGCTCACATGGTGTAAGAGAAACAGTGCTCCCCGTGCCAGGCAGGATCGCAACACGAAGCTAACAGAGGCCAGGGAGATCCCTGTACACAAGTTAGGGGCAAGCAGGGCAGGTGTGCATAGGGAGTATTTAGTTCCCGCCCCCAGAGCTCCCTTAGAGCTTTAAAGGGCTAGTTCTTGCAGCGGGGGCAGACTTGAGATTTGGCCACGGGCAGAGGAGACTGCTGCACTGAAAGCACGTGTCTTACTTGCATCTGACGTCCACAAACGCTAACAATCACACGGAGGCCGTTCTAGGGCCTCCTGCCCCAGAGCAGAAGTTACAAGAGTCCCAGATACAGGTTAATTGTGCTTTGAGACAGGGTCATGGAGGAACTCCAGAAGACTCCAGCTATGGCAATCCCGTCTACAACAGCCACTTCGGGATGCATGCAAACGCCTCTCCTGAAGACGTACAGCTGCCACAGCGATTTAAGCACTTCAATAATCGGCCGACTGTAAAGACCAGTCCCAATCCTGTTCTTCCCTTTTAGGAGCTCAGAGTTCTCTGGTCTGAAGGCAGAGTCATCCCCCCTAGTGTTTCTCTCTCCTAGTAACCAGCCCCCAGCACAGCAGTTCCCGCTTCCAGCAGGTTGATCGGATATGAACGAAATGAGGCGGAGTTACCAAAGGACTCCAGACAAACCCCGACACTGCTGAGGTCTACAGGCTCCTGGCAGGGCGGGTGTCAATCATTCTAGTGAAAGCTGGGGGATTTTTTTCTTACATTTGGCAGTCAAGGTCTCTCATTTACCACACTTTAAAATTTACTACTGATCCCCGACTTTTGAAACAAACCAATTCTCTTAAGAGGTTCCTTCCTCTGCTCATGTATACGTGACCCAAGTGTCTGGATTACCGACCTCAATGGATTTAATCACACGTTGAAGAATTGCTCTGGGGGATACAACTATACCAAACAGTACATGAACTCTGCAAAGGGAGAAGAGAGGTAGGTACGATTCTGAGCCAACCCTCCATGACACTGTCCCTTGAAATCATGCGCTTTCATTCCCTGATATCTGCTACTTCTTGCCGCAAATCTCAAGCCGTTTTGAGAGGGGAAGAAGGGAGTGTGCAGTCCCCAGCACGAGCCCCTTCATGCACTTTGGGCAGGAATACTCCCGTTAAAAGCACAATCTGAAACGTAACCGCCAAGGAAGAGAAGAAGGTCAAGCTCTTCGTTATTGCTAGTATGATCCCTGGGAGGAAGGAGCAGCACAACAGTAGCCATTGTGCTTGTTTAAGGCAGCATCGGACATTAACTACACTGATATTCCTAGCACAAACTTCAGCCCAACACACGTAACGCTGACGGAACGGCTTCCCATTGGGCAAACGGACCCCAGCAATTGGCTAACCCTGTCCTAGCAGATGTATTTCCAATGCGGATCGCAACAGTCCAGGAGAAGTGGAGCCGTGCGAGCTCCCCCTCTCGAGGCCCAGATAAGTTGGACTAAGCAACTCAATGCACTTATTGAAGAAACATTTGCAAGGAGACAGTTTGAGCAACCTGGGGATGTGCTTCAATACTGAATGGGCAAATTGGGGCAGGACGGACAAGGCAATTCAACATGAACCAAACAGCACAGATCCTTTGGGAATGGGGAGGACCTTTGAAAGCCAGAGGGCAGTCGGAGCTTCTCTTTCTGGGTCTCTCCAGTCACCCCAATGACAAACACGGGCAGGACGTTAACATCGAAGTAAATGGATGGGCCATGGCGGCCCCCAATTCCATGGAGAGAGTAGTCTGAGGTCAGAATCAGCCCGAGGAGTGTTGGGGCCCAGTCCAAGTGAAGTGCTGCTGGGTTAGACTGTCAGCAGTCGTGTATGCAACTGGAGTCCAAATGGTCACTTGATAAGCGGAATGTTGGATACCGCAGACATTAGGAGCGATAACGGCTTCACAACCAATAGAGCAAGGCCGGGTCTCATCACACCTCCTCCTCTGCCATTTGTTTGATCTGCCGACTGTGAACCACCTGCTGGGCACCTTCCGCTGCCTGGTTTAATCTGGTCTCCAGGGCGCTGCGGAGGTCGTTCACTTTCACATCCGGAAGAGGGTTGAGACCAATGATGACACCTTCGCTCGCCTCAGTCTCCTCCTCCAGGCGAGGCGGCAGGTCCCGTCTCCTCCTCCGGAGGTCCAAGTCAGCCTGCAGTTTCAGGTCCCGGTTTGGTTTGACGTTCTCCTGGTCTGGTTTCTGATCCGCAAGGGGGGCTGCTCCCTTCTCATGCTTTAAGGCAACGTCGTTCTCAAAGGCATTCTTCTCAGCAGGATCTTTGAGAAGTTTTTCATCCAGGACCTTTTGCTTGTTCAAGTGGCTTCCCTGAGGACCCTGCTCCATATCCACTGCCTTTCCCCGGAGAACTTCTTTCTTAGCCTCCACTTTGCCGGCCTGATCGACCTGGGAAGCCTGCTGCCGCTTGCTGCCAGCTCCATCGGCCTGGTCGTCATTTCCAGGTCTCGGATGTTCCTGTTTACGCTGCACGTTCTCTGCTACTTGCAGTTTATTTGAAGAGTCCAATGGAAGTTCCAGATCTTTGGGCGCCTCTTTATTTGCTGGTTTGGTTTTAGAGTCCGCACCAAAGACTCGTTCTGGACCCTTCCCTGCTGTCTCCTGAGCTTTGACAGCCCTTGGCAGCTGTCTCTGGGTGTCAGTGACTGCTCCTGCCACCACCTCTCCAGCTTCCAGGGCACTCTTCTGCTCTTGGCTATCTCCCACACCTTTGGCTTCATGCCCTCCCCCCAATTCCTTGGCTGCGGGCTTCTCTGGATGGTTTCCTGCTGCCTGGACTGCATGTCCTATGTCATTGGCTTGTCGTGAATCATCGCTATGAAGTGGATCCCCTAAGTTCTCTAGAGAGTTTTTAATGACTTTGTTCGCCTTGTGTTGTGGGACCTTCCCACCCTTAGGAAGAGCCTCGGGAATTTTAGGCCCAGCTACGCTGACTTGAACAGGAAACTTCATTCTAGGTCTGTGCACAGCCTCTTCCAGACCATCTACATTCCCTTGGTGTTGCTCCACTAAGTCAACAGGCTGATTGCCAGGCCCTGGCTGAGGAGGGTCCAATATCTCCTTAGGAAGGTGCTTTGCAGCAACATCTGCTTTAACGTCTCGGCCCTCTTCCTCTTTGCTCTTTGCAAGAGGCAGATCAGGCTCCTGTGGTATTTCTGCTGCAGAAAAATAAATGAAAGGTCTTTTTTAGTGAATGCCCAGCAGCAGTTTTCCTTTCTCCCCAGTGCACCTGCATGTTCTTCAGACCTGCCACTGTGCCAGCCCCAGAGAGTGGCAGGTGTTTTCTAGCCACATCCTTACCTTGCTTTGGCTTCTCCTCGCCTCCCTCCTCCTGCCTCTGCTGGTGCATTTCCTTATGCTGCTCTTCAATCACAGCGAGCAGTTTCGCCTGCTGGTCTAGTAGCTGCTTTTGCTGCACTTGCTGTTCTTTAATCACTTGCAGCAGGACGGCATGATCAAGCACCTTTGCCTTCCCAGCTTCTAATGTTAAAAAAAAAAAAAAAGCAGAGGGGAAAAGAGAAGAAAATGAAGCTTGCTGGGAGCGGCAGAACAGCTCCTCCCATTTAGTGTGTTTCTTGGGAGGAGAGGGATTGGGGGGTACATGCTTCTCCCCCCAAAAATAACGCTTGCGCACAGTCTAACCAAGTAACGATTCATTTCAATAGCCATCCTCCTTCTCCATGGGCCATATGAGACCCTCTTCCATATCTGTGATGCACCGTGTTTTGCTGTAATACTTCCTGGCCAGAGCCAGCCTGCGATACCCTTCCTCACTTAGAGCAGTGCCCTACTCCTCGGACAGTCCCACTGCCATCGGGGGAGCAAGGGCATCACAATACGGCCCTCTATCAGCAGCACAGAGATCCTCCACTGGAAGCTCATAGCAGCCAGATGCAAATAAGTGTGTGTAGGGGGTGATCTGTCTGATCGCCCCTCTTCCCCTCCCACATACAAAAGGAAAGCCCAGGGCTGTGCAGCTAACGTGCACAGCCAGAGCAGACAGTGGCAGAAGCTCCACTGGGCAATGTTTGGGAGGCTGCTTTTCACACAAAAGAGGACACAGGAGACTCAGAGTAAGACTGACCAGTGCACTTGTATTTATCCTGGAAGGGGAGAGGTCTCTGAAGCAAGGTGGTCGAGAGATAAGGGACAGTCAACGGCTAACCAGATTCAAAACAAGAGGACTTCTGCTTTTTAAAACCCTTCTCTAATCCCCAAAGGGGCAGATGGATAGGCAGTTCTGACTGCTGTCAGGGTCTGCGATGACCTCTGCAGGGGCTTAACACGGCAGTTCTAGCTCTGACCCCTGGAGAGAATTCGTCCATTTTAGTGGGCCTAGAACATTTCCTCCTAGCTACCGTTGAGCAAAGACGTATCATTCTGGGGCTTCTGCTGAGCAGAAGCCAGTGCCCAGGAGTCCAGCAGCTCATCTGAACCCCACTGAGAGGGAGCCCAGCCCAGGGAGCCTACCAGAGCATTCACACCCAGACGTGGAAGATCTGCACAGCCTCCAATGCGTGGCATCTGATTCTAGCCTCTCAAATGGGCAAGGGCTGGCTGGAGGTAGGGCTGGGAAAATGCCCCTCTCTTTTCCCCAGACCTGACCCCCACACTGCGCTTTTATCCTGAGCAGGTGAGTGATGTCTAACAGCAGGCACAGGCTCCGAAAACCCAATACCGCCGTCCCAGACCTGGGTTGCAGCTGAACACCAGCAATCTAACACCCGGCACAACCCAGGGGCTGGGTGCTCAGGTTTAGCTGTCCTGGGGTTAAAGGTTGTGTAAGCCAATGTACAGCTTTGTGGAGAGGGCAGAAGGACTAGCTTACCAATCTGAACTGGAGTAAATTTCAGCCAATGAAATCTGAAGTGACCGGTGCTCACAAACATGCTAGTAGAGGACGCAGCAATAATGTATCATAAGACTGTATGTTAAACCAGGACGAAAACCCTGCTCACTAGCTCTGCACAGACACACACTGGGGGAAGATCTGGAGAACACACAGTTTCTATTTGAATTTACGAGTTAGTTTAGTGCTCCGAAGTCAGGGTTTAGCAACACGGACTTGATTTGAGCCAGGCACTGTGCAAGCTACATGCAGTGTGCAAACCACGCAAACACCCTGTCTGTATGGAGACATTACGACATCTTTCTTCTTAGGAAATGCACCCACGGCATATACTGCACAGTGCTAACCTGTCCTGTGCTTCCCCCCACCCCCGACACGCCTAGTGGCATTTCTCCAAAACTCTCTGGGAGTTTCCAGAAAATTGCACCCAAAGGAATTCATGGCAAAGATTAACAGCCTGTAAAATGCCATTTAAATTAGAAAGGGAAGTTGTCCTGCTAATAACCCACAAGGTGAATAAAGGGGAATATTTTCGGTGCACAGCAGAAAGCTATAAAACAAGCAGCAACTTTGGAATTTCCCCTTATAGTCCCATTTACAAAAGCTCCATTATGGGCGGGGGAAGTGAAATCACTGGAAGAGTGCAGTTTCCTTCCCCCCCTGTCTGTTTACTTTCAGCACTTAGCTCGGCAGGGCAAACAGAAGTCCTTTCTACTCTCACGTTCTGGGGACTGCACTCCACTAGCTCTGCATGGTTAGCTTTGGGTAGCAATGCTGAAGGAGAAGGTTTCAAGCCAAATCAAACTGGTTTTCATGGAGATTTTTGAAAGCCTACGTAACTCCTCTCTCAACCTATTCACACCCCCAAAACCCACTGGGCTGCTACCCTCTCACACTCCCTCTGATCCGAATGAGTGTGGATGAAAACGTGTCAGACCCTGACTTGCTTTGGGGGGGTTTAACACACCTCTGATAAAAAAATATCGTAAGCACTTTAACAAAAAAACGCAGAGGACTTGGGCATCCCGAGGGGCCACGGTTCAGGAGCCCAGAGAGAAGTTACTGTCAGTGAGGGGCATCCGTGCAGGAGGATTGTGGGCCCTGGCTGTACCACCACCATTTCCCCGTTTGTTTAGGTGGGGGATTCAGCTCTGTACAGAGGAACGGGACAAGTCCCACACACCCTCTTACGTGCCATTAAAGCCCATAGGCCTGGTGCTGACTCTCTGCCCAGGGCTGAAGGCTAACACGTACGCTCATGCAATGCATTCACAAGACCCGAGGCCATGCATGCTACTCTTTCACTCGCACTTAGATCCTGGGATTTTAAATCCTCCTTACAATTCAATATGGTCATTCCTTGAGGTTCATACCTGCTACTAGCTTTTTAATCTCAGCTGTTTCAGGCCCATTGAGATGCATAAGGAAGAGAAACAGATTAGGAAAACCGTGATTTTTCTTTTCTTTTTTCTTTTTTGTTTAAAGCAAACGAACAAGTCAAAAGCATCAAATAACCTTTAGTGGCAGGATATGGGGAAAGCACCTTCATGAAAAGGCCAGATGAGGGCCAGATGAATGCTAGATTCTACAGACTCTGCCAAACAGCCACCTAAGCTCGTGTCCCGCACACGCACTGCATACATGCAGCCTCTCAGGATATGGCATGTTCGGTGTCACCTCATCCAGGGCTGCAGTAAGCAGGGTACACATGATCTGTTCCCACGACGGAGATTCCCTGGATGTAGCCTAGCGTCATCCAGCAATTCACGGGGCCTGCAGCTAACCTGCTCTCGGGCTGTTCGGGAACCTGGTCTGTTCCAGTAACACAGGTGTGATCTGCTGCGCACGGGTTACACAGGGGCTGCCGGGGTTCAGTCAGTCTCTCTCAAGTCCACCATGGCGAGAATGTGAGCAACTGGGCACTAGCAGCGGTGACCTGCCACCAGACACGAGCTCTGGGTCTGAGTCTTGGATTTTGCCATCCCAGATTGGCAGAAGCTAGGAATGTTCCGGGGTCTGTCTACACTGCAGCTGGCAGCGTGCTCCCCTGTGCAGGTAGCCGGCCACGTGCTAGCCCACTAACAATAGCAGTGTGGCCACAGTGGCCTGGGTGGTGGCTCTGGCTAGTCACCCGAGTACAAATCCACCCGAGCCCCTGCTACCTTGAGCAGACTGGTGTGTGTCTGTCCACCTGTAACCGGAGGAAGTGCCTTTGGAGGACCCCGCTGGGCTGGCTGAGAGGCCATAGGCTCCAAACCCTTGCAGCGGTGGGAAGAGCCGGCCGGCCAGTACCCTCCTCTTGGAGAAGTTGAACTTCACCGACCTACCCGTGTGTCATGAGCTAGCATGCAGCCACGCAGGCGGGAACAGGCTCAGTCGAAGGATGTGTAACTCCCCACAGCAGAGTTCACACAGCCATTTCCCACTGTGCTTTTATTCTGGCTTCGCTCTTGTTCACCCTGGGGCCTCGCTCTGTACTCTGAGCTTGGGCGGGGCAGGGGGGGGAAGGGGAGAGAGCGCCAGGCCTACAGTCCAGCATGGGTCACGGCACCAACAGGGCTGGCGGAAGTTTTGCGTTGAAACATGCCATCCTCTCCTGGAGTACTTAGCCCCTCGAGACAGACGCTAAGCACTAGAGCCTATAGCCACTGGGCCCCAACCCAGCGGTGGTACAGTGGAGTTCCAGATGGGTCGCAAGGCTGGGCCAGGTCCCAACCCCAGAGCGGGGAGCTGGGCCCAGCCCCACAGGACAGGAGTGTGAGTGTGGGAGAGGCTCGCTCGCTCTCCAGCGCCTCCCCTCGGCACCTGGCTGGGATCAGGGCTGCGGTGCCATGCATGGAACGGCAGGTAGCAAAAAGCCAAAAAGAACCACCGGCCTAAAGTTACATGATCCCAACCACCACGGCCAAACTGTCTGGGCGGTACATTCTCACTGTCCCTCGCACGCCGCCTAACGAGGCAACAGGCTCCCAGGGCGATTGGCAGCTGTGGGGAGGCTAAGCCCCACTTCACTCACCCTCCAGCCTGCTGTCGCCGTTCTCCTGCGGCTTGTCCTCAGCATTTCGGATCTCTCTCTGCTGCGGTTGCTGCACCTGCGCTGGATCCAGCCTGTCGGGCGGGAGCAGCTCCTGCTTCTCACCTGCGGACAGACCGACCGACCGACCAACTCAGCTCTTTGGTTGGAAAGGAAGAAGCGGCAGATATTCTCTAAAAACAGCTCCACACTCTGTCCCGCCTCCCCCCCCCCGCCCGCCCCCCGCCAACGCAGTTTATATTCAACCTGACAACTGCAAGGGAAGTAATAAAAAAAATATTTAACAATCTTATAGACTCCTGGCAGAGAGCCAATGCTAACTACCTTAGCCAATTAAAATGCAAGAACCATCCTAGCTAGCTTTTAGATGGGCACTTAGCAATGTGTTACCTGTCAAGATCTCCCAACTCCACGTCCCCAGTGAGTTGTGAGACACATAACAACAGCACGGCACCTGACATTTAGTAGGCTAGCAAACAATTGTTTGACAGATATTATAGTAGCTGTCAAAGACACCAGATTCCTCGTTTCCCCCAACAGCTGCTGAAGGGGCTGTGCATATTCACATGCTAATCTGGTGAAATTAGACGAGAACACTGGAATGTAGGGAGGAGTAACCAATCGCTGCCCTCCCCTAGCCTAGACAAGAGGAGAATTGGCTCAGATGAGACACCCAGGAGATGACTTACCAGGGTCAATTTCCTTCTCTACAGACTTCACAGCCTCCGCAACGTTCCCAGCCTGCTGGAGATTTGCATTCTCTCTTCCACCTGCAGCCTCAGCTCTCTTTTCGCCCCCAGGTAGGACAGCCAGTGACCTTGGTTCGACCACCTGCTTGCCGGGCTCCAGATCTTTGTACAGCGGTCGGCCATCTCGTCGCACCTCCGGGGCATTCTTCGGGTCCTCGAGGGGCCTGTCAACCTCTCTCTCGAGCTGGTTGTGAGCCCCATCTTCCTTTCCTGGTTCCAGGTTGGGCTCCTCTCTCTTGGGATCCAGCTGTGCAGCCTTCTCCACGGCCGGCTTGAGCCGATTTGCCTTGGCTTCTTCAGGTGGACGCTTGTTCTCCTTAGATTCTTCACGGTCCTGCCCCTCATCTACGACAACTGCGTCATGTGGGACAGGTGGCTCATGGCGATGGGCTTCTCCCACAGGTAAAGCGATCCCTGGGGAAAAGGGGAGGGGAGAAGGTCAATGGGCCCCTCTGGTGGGATTTGGCGAAATTCCACCCAGCAGACCCATGTCATACCCGTGTGTACCCTCCTGCCCTGATACGTGTCACCCCTCCCAGTGAGCAGTCCTTGCTGCCTAGCCACGCGCAAGCATATCCGGCGAGCTCCAGGAGCAGCCACGCTGGGCCAGGGAGGGAATCGGCCTGGACGGGGATGGAATCATGAATTATCTGCAATAATATTGCTAACCACCCCTTCCAAGTATGTCAAGTTGCACCTCTAAGCTCTTGCCCTCTCCCCAGCCCCCCAGCCCCATCTCTGGGATACCCTGGTCAGGCCGGTCGAGCTGCACTTCCTCCTCCTGCTTGGCCTTCGCTTCGTCTCTCTTGGGCACGTCCATGGGCACCTTGATCTGCGGCTGTTCCATCTCTTCCTTCTCGTTCGGCAGCTTCGGTTTCTCGCGGCTGTCCTCCGCCCCTTCCGCAACTGGGTCCTGGACTGTAAGCATGGCACAGTTAATTGAATGAGGTCACACATGGCTGCACTGTCAATCTATAAAAGGAATCGGGGCAATTCTTTTGTCAGCTGTAATCCTGTTTCTCCAGCTGAGTGACACGGGTCTAGGAGGCAATTTTGAGCTCCTCAGTCAATTGTTAGTGCTTAGTTTTCTTTACTAGCCATCCCGGGGAGGGCTCTTTTGTTATCAAGATACAGAAAAACAGTACAGCGCAATTTACAAAAGCTGCATGCTACCATGAACTACCACCAGATGGCAGCATTGATCTTGCGCTCTTTTCTTCCACCACAATTAAAGATCCTGAGCTCCCTTTAATCTCTCCAGACCAGCAGCAGCCGGTGGCGCACTGGCGGGGGCTCTGCGGAGATCCTCTTTCCCAGCTGCTAGGCTACACTCAGGACAGGAAAGGCACATCAAATAGTTTCCTAATGTTACTTCTTCGCAAGAACAATTGCTGTAGCTGGCACGGGGATGTAATGGGACTGAGTGGGAGGGGATCAGAGATTGGGCACAAAATTTTAACCGTGCGGGTGATTAACCATTGGAACAAACTTCCAAGGAGAGTGGCAAACTCTCCGTCTCTTCATGCCTTGTTTGGAAGGCTGGATGCCCTTTTGAAAGGCCTGCTGCAATCAAACCCGAGTTACTGGGATCAATAGCGAGGTTACTGGGTGGAATTCTCTGGCGTGTGTTGTACAAGAAATCAGGCCAGATGTTCGACTGGTCCCCTCTGGCCGTAATCTCTGAAATGGGAATGTAGGTGCCGCCCATAAGCCGCTCTCAGCAGCAGCCCACACTATGGAAATGTTCGAGAACCTCGGCTTCAGAGGAAAAACAGAGGAGGGAATCAGATTGTTTTCCAGCTTTTGGGAGATGAAATCACACAGAGCATTTTCTGTCCAATGAACTCGGAAATATTTACTTTCTCTATCACAAAAACACACTTCTCCACCCCTCCCTCAAATTTCCTTTGGGGAATTAATGCTATAAACTTCTTTCAATGTTCTCCTCCCCCTCCCTGGAACTGGTGCCGTTCGTTACCAGATGAATTCATGGGAAAGAGAGACTGCCACAATTTCAGCTGTGCGGGTCTTATGTGAGTTGTGAAATAGACAGAACAGTACAAGATCCAGGCCCGTGTGGGAAGCCCGGCTGGAGCAGCTGACAGACGTGGAATCTTTGCCCTAGAGCACTGCGCCAGGTTGGGAAACTAGTTCAAGTCTGGGTGGTTTTCAAGGTTGCTTTGGTTAAGTAAATAAGAAAAGGGGCCTGAAGCAATGGTGGACACTGCAGGTCACGCAGCCTGCATCTGCAGCCTCGCTCCCCTTCCCTGGGAAGATGTAGGGCCAGAGTCACTGCCCAGTGAAGCCATTGGAAAGATGCCGATTGGCAGGCGAGTTTTTCTCCCAGTGGAGCGTGGCTGCGAGGCACGGGCGAGGGGGAGATGTGCTCTCCCCTCTTTGCCCCCCCTCCCCCCGCAGGGAAAACGGATTCCCGCGAGCTGTCCCTTTCCCAACACGGGGCTGTGTCCCTTTCAGCACATCACCAACCAGCACCCTTTCAAATGTGGCCCCACCAGCCTCGGTGGCCCTCTCTTCTAGCCCTTCATTAGCGGGCGGGGCAGCCAGGCAGAATCCTGGGGGCGGGGAGGGAGGGAAGCAAGTGTTTCTGAACAAACTCTGGGAGAATGGCAGGCTTCCCGGAGAGGGCTGCCGAACCCTGGGAAGAGAGTGCTCTGCCCTTCGGAGCCAGGATGTTCCAGCCAAATTCTAGCCTCACAATCCCCAAGTTACTTGGTTTGCCCTAGAAAAGCTTTAGTTTGTTACGGGGTCCCTGGTAACTATGCACCTCAGTCCTTATTGCGTTGGCCGAGGTCTGGCTCATTCAAGAGAAGGCTCACTACAGATCTGCCATACACCCAGCGTTCCTTGGGGCCAGGGTATTATTAGGATTAATTCTACAGCAACCCCAACATTTCATAAGCAAAGCAAAAGGGTTCGGGAGCCAAACACACCGAGCTTACCATCTGACGGGTAACGAAAGAGGGCTCCTACCTCTGCCTTTCACAGCAGGACTGCAGCAGGTGAAACTAGTGAGCTCTCCCCTACGCTGAAATCACTGGTGGAGGCCCCATGGCTGTACCCAGGAACAGTCGTAAATCACGAGATGGCTAGCACGTTACACGCCTTTCCAAAAACCACACAGCAAAACAAAAACAAGATCAAACCTCCACTCCGTAATAAGGCCAAGTTGCCTCTAAGCTGTCATTTTCTCAGCAGGAAACAAAATTAAGTTCATCATCTGGGCGTGAATTAATGGCCTGGCATGCTGCATGGAACCCTATAAGGAGCTATATGTGGTTTGCAGAGAACAATTTTGCTCAGGATGTGTAATAATCACTAACTGTACCGTCGTCTTTCAGGTCCCTTTGGAGAACGTTACAGTAATGCTGGGCCTCTGAATGTTTTATGAGTGGTGCTGGACTTTACAGGCAAGGGCTAAGAGGCTATAAAAGCTTCTTGGCTTACAACAACAACAACATCTCAGCATCAGACGGCAAGAGGGCTTTCTCTGCTGCTCGCTGGGCCTTCCAGGACCAGCCCAGCACACAATGCCCTCTAGCAGCTGTCTCCCTTTGGAGATATATGGGGGGGGACCCAAGACTTCCTGAAACAGATTTTTTTCCCCTCTTAAGTGGTTTGCCAACAATGTCTCTAGGCTGCAATAAAATTGCATGATTAGCAACCTAAAAGCTTCCCTCCCCCACAGCTTCTGGTTGGGATTCCAGCAACGGCCCCAGAAAGACGTTACAAATTACTCCTTGGGTGGTTTTCATATCACTCTTGTCCACCATGTTAACGACTGTAGCTGAAGCCTGCATCTATAGCTCCTGCTTGTTCGGAAGGAGGAGACGACAGCTTGGCATCGTTCTCCTCCTCCTCCTCAGCGGAGGGGGAACTGAGGAAAAGGAGGCCAGATGTGGCCTGGGAAGAGCAGAGAGTGGATGGGGCACTGGGAAGATTCTGTCGAATTGAGGAAGAAAATACATTTTTTGGCCATGGTTTCACTCCCAACACAGGGCTATTTTCAGTTCTTGACAGTGTCATCAGGCGCTGTTTCCCCAGTTCTAACCACGAGAGGGCGCTAACAGCTGCAAAACCCTTGCTTTTAAACCCTTGCTTCCATTGTCCACTTTTTGAAACTGATCAAAGATAGGTTTCAGAGTAGCAGCTGTGTTAGTCTGTATCCGCAAAAATAACAGGAGTACTTGTGGCACCTTAGAGACTAACAAATTTATTAGAGCATAAGCTTTCGTGG